TATTAAATGAAATTGGTTTTTTTTTTAACTTAATCAGTAAATTTTCGGAAAAATCAGTATCAAGTTTGAATTTTGACGGACTTTATTTATTTCCAGAACATGAACAAGTAAAAATATATTCCGAAGAAAAAAAAACAAAAAGAAAATTATTATTGGACGCAATTCGAACTGATCCTACTAATAATACAATTTTTAATAGAAAACTATGTAGTGAAATAAACGAAATAAGTAAAGAAGTTCCTCGATGGTCATACGACTTAGTCGACGAATTGGCGGTATTGATGGACGCGAGTCCAAAGGAGTCTCAGATTCGTTCCCCAAAAGCTGACCGTATAGTTCTTTTTAATAGTAAAACAGATTCTAATGACAATCAGAATAGTGCTGAACCGGACAGAAATACTGAATTTGCTGTAGTTCATTATTCACGCGAACCAGATTATTGCCGAGACCTAATCAGAGGATCTATGCGCCCTCAAAGGCGTAAAACAGTAACTTATAAACTCTTTCAAGGAACTGCACACTCCCCTCTTTTTTTGGAGATAATGGGCGACTACGCGTTCTTGTTTGGTGATCTTGTCTATGATATCTCCCAATATTTGAAAGAATATTTCAGGAAACCGGGTACTGATAATTCGGAATTTTTGGCGTTTGAGAAAACGATAGAACAGAAAGAGATAGAGGAAAACAAAGACGAGTCTGAAATAAGACTTAGACAAATCGAAGAAGCCTGGGAGAGCATTCTCTATGGTCTAATAATCAGAAGTTTTGTATTACTATTCCAATCAATATTTAGAAAATATATTCTATTACCTTCATTGATAATCACAAAAAATATCATTCGTATACTATTATTTCAAAATCCTGAAGAAGTCCATATTTACTGCACCTATCAGGGCGTTCCAGTATCTCACACCGCGTTGCCAACAAACTGGTTCTGGGAGGGTATTCAGATAAGGATCTTATTCCCTTTTGTTCTGAAACCGTGGCACAATAAGGTACGATCTACTGAAAAAAAAAAAAAATCTACTGAAAAAAAAAAAGATCCACTGAAAGAAAAAAACTTATGGTTTTTAACAGGTTATGGAACACAAGTCGAATCGTACCTTGATGATCATGTCCCAAACCCTTTTTTATTTTTGGGTCCCATTTTAAAAAAAATAAAAAAACAATTGAAAAAAGATTTGAAAAATCGTTTTTTTCTAGTTCTAAAAGTTTTTAATGAAAGAAAAAAGGGGTCTCGAATCGTGTTAGAAGAAATCGAAAATAGGTTCAAAAAAAGAGATGAATTGAGTGAAAGCAAAAAAAATTCAACAATCAGTAAGAGTAATCCAATGATTGAGGAATCGCCCGTTCTAATTCAATCTATGAATTGGACAAATTTCACAGAAAAAAGGATAAAAGATCTTAATGTTAAAACAAAGACAATCTTAAAACAACTAGAAAAAATGACAGAAGAAAAAAAAGAGGGGGTTATAACTTTAGAGATTAATTTGAATTCTACCAAAACTACTTATGATGCTAAAAGATTAGAATTACTAAAAAATAGTTTGAAAATATTAAAAAGAAGAACCGTTCGATTAATCCGTAAATCCTATTTTTTTTTTCAAATTTTAATGGGAAGGATATACATAGAGATCGTTTTCTCTATCACTCGTATTATTATGATGTCTGGACAACGTTTTCTTAATATTATTGAATTAACAGACAAAATTGTAAATGTATTTATTTCCATTTACACTAAAAAAAAAAATGAACAAAGAGTTCATAAAACAAATGAAAGTATAATTCCATTTATGTCGATTATAGACAAATCTTGGAATATTACAGATATGAATTCACAGAATTCTTGTGATGTATCTTCTTTGTCACAAGCCTATGTATTTTTTAAATTATCACAAGTTAGTAATGGATATAAATATAAGTTAAGATCTATTTTTGAATCTCATGGAAGATCTTTGTTTCTTAAGAATGAAATAAAAGATTATTTTTTTAGAATACAAGGAGGAAGATTAAATTCCAAATTAAGACATAAGAACCGTCCCGATTCTATAATGAATCAATGGATAAATTGGTTAAAGGTTCATTATCAATATGCTTTACCTCAGAGCGGATGGTCAAAATTAGTACCACAAAAGTGGAGGAAGAGAATCCATGAACATCGCGTGGCTCAAAAGAAAAATTTAGTTGAATATGATTCATCTGAAAAAAACCAATTCATTTTTTACAAAAAACAAAAAAAACAACAAGTAGATTTATTAGAAAAAAAAAAAAAAATAAAAAAACAATATGGATATGATCTTTTCTCCTATCAATATATAAATTATGCAGATAACAAAAAATCCTATATTTATGGATATAAATCACCATTGCAAGCAAACAAAAACCAAACGATTAATTACAACATACCTAAAAATAAAAAAGAATTATTTGATATAATGGGCGATAGCTTTATCCAAAATTATATAGCAGAAGATGGTATTATAGATATGGATATGGAAACAATGGAAAAAAATCTGAATAGAAAGTATCTAAATTGGATGGGAAAAAGAAAAAAGAATTCCAAAACGAATCAGAAATTATTGACTCCGAGATTTGGGTTCTTTTCAAAATTAAGTGCATATAAGAAGAATCCTTGGATCTTACCAATGAATTTCTTTTTTGTGCAGTTTTATGGAAACAAAAACATTACTGATGTAGCCAAGTTAAAGTTAGAAAAGAAAGAATACGGGAAGCAAGCAGATCTCAAATCATATCTCTCAAACTATTATAGGGACACTCGGTATAGTATAACTAGATACAGGAAGGATCTAAATGGCGAACAAAATTTCTTACTAGATAAATATTTTGGTTTTTATTTGCACTGTAAGACTCCCGTCCAAGAAACACTAATGGATAATATCAACTTATATTGTCTCCTGGTTAGATTGAAAAATCTAAAACAATTTTTCATAATGTCTATAAAAAAGGCAGACCTCGATTTTGAAATTACGGCGCGTCTGCAGATGAAGGACACTTGTTATACAGAATGTAGGGACACAGAGGAATTGAGGGACAACCTAATGTTTTTTATTGAACCTATTCGTATTTCTAGAAAAAACTATGAACAATTTTTTATATATCAAACCATAAGCATATCATTGAGGCACAAACGTAAAATTTTGAAAAGAAACTATGATTTACTTGTTCCTGAAAATCTTTTGTCCACTAGACGCCGTAGAGAATTGAGAATTCTAATTTGTTTGAACCCACAGAATAGAAATACTGTGCATAGAAACACAATAAATGACACTGAGAAAAAACGAAATAATTCTTCTGAAGTTTTGACTCAAAATGAAGATATTGATAGCGATACAAAAAAACTAATGACTTTAAAATTCTTTCTTTGGCCAAATTATCGATTCGAAGATTTAGCTTGTATGAACCGCTATTGGTTTGATACACATAATGGAAGCCGTTTCAGTATATTAAGAATACATATGTATCCTCGATTGAAAATCTAGATTTTTGTTCTATTTATCATTATCATAATATTTCAGATATCTATCTGATATCTGATATGTGAACATATATATATATATATAAATAAATATTTATTTATATATATATATATATGTTCACATATAATTGATAATTGCAATAAATAAAATAAACGCGCACACGCATTGTGGGATTGATACGACTTCAATGATGTCTCCATTAGATAGAAATAAATCAATAGAAAAATGAATAAATCAAAATTGTCTTTTTTTTTTTTATTTTTTAAATACAAGACAATAGAATTTTTTATTTTTTGAATACATAAATATAGTATTTATTCTCTATTTGAATTACATTCCTTAATAAGGAATTTGAAAAAAAAAAATTCAGAATTGTGAAAATTGTTAAATAAATTAAGGTAAAATTTGATATAAAAAATTCAAAATGAGTGTCATTACTATTACTGATCAATAAAAATATCTACCAAAAAGGAGGGGGAAAGAAAAGCTTTCATTTTATGATAAAAAATTCATTTATACCTGTTATTTCACAAAAAAAAAAAGAAGAAGAAAACCCGGGATCGGTTGAATTTCAAGTATTCAACTTCACTAATAAAATACAAAGACTTACTTCACATTTTAAATTACACCCAAAAGACGATTTATCTCAAGGAGGTTTACGTATAATTCTGGGAAAACGGAAACGACTATTGTCGTATTTGTCAAAGAAAAACAAAATACGTTATCAAAATTTAATAAATCGGTTGGGTATTCGGGATTCACAAATTAGGTAATTTAAAGAATCATTTTCAATTATTCGATTTATTAGATACTGAATTTTGATGAACTTTTTTTTTTGAACGATTCATGGAAGAATGAATCGAGGAAAAACCTATGAATATCCCAGCTACAAGAAAAGACCTCATGATAGTAAATATGGGGCCTCAACACCCATCGATGCATGGTGTTCTTCGACTTATTGTTACTCTGGATGGTGAAGATGTTATTGATTGTGAACCAATATTGGGTTATTTACACAGAGGTATGGAAAAAATATGTAACACGTTGGGATTATTTAGCGACTATGTTCACAGAAGCAATAACTGTAAACGGGCCGGAACAATTGGGAAATATTCAGTACCTAAAAGAGCCAGCTATATACGAGTAATTATGTTGGAGTTAAGTCGTATAGCTTCTCATCTACTATGGTTGGGACCTTTTATGGCAGATATTGGTGCACAAACCCCTTTTTTCTATATTTTTAGAGAAAGAGAATTAATATATGATCTATTCGAAGCTGCGACAGGTATGAGAATGATGCATAATTTTTTTCGTATTGGGGGGGTAGCCGCTGATCTACCTTATGGTTGGATAGATAAATGTTTTGATTTCTGCAATTATTTTTAACAAGGGTTATTGAATATCAAAAACTTATTACGCGAAATCCAATTTTTTTAGAACGGGTTGAAGGAGTAGGTTTTGTTGGTAGAGAGGAAGTTATAAATTGGGGGTTATCAGGACCCGATGCTTCGGGCTTCCGGAATACAATGGGATCTACGTGAAGTTGATAATTATGAGTGTTACGAGGAATTGGATTGGGAAGTTCAATGGCAAAAAGAAGGAGATTCATTAGCTCGTTATTTAGTTCGAATTGGTGAAATGGTGGAATCCATAAAAATAATTCAACAGGCTTTGGAAGGAATTCCAGGGGGGCCTTATGAAAATTTGAAATCCGCTGCTTTGATAGAGAAAAGGAGCCAGAATGGAATGATTTTGAATATCGATTCATTGGTAAAAATCGTCTCCTACTTTTGAATTGCCGAAACAAGAACTTTATGTGAGAGTGAGGCCCCCAAGGGAGAATTAGGAATTTTTCTAATAGGAGATCAGAATGGTTTTCCTTGGAGATGGAAAATTCGTCCACCTGGTTTTATCAATTTGCAAATTCTTCCTCAATTAGTTAAAAGAATGAAATTGGCTGATATTATGACAATACTAGGTAGCATAGATATCATTATGGAGAAGTTGATCGTTGAAATGAGAATTGATACAACGGAAGTCCAAGATATAAACTCCTTTTCCGGATTGGAATCTTTCAAAGAGGTCTATGGAATTCTATGGATACTTGTACCAATTTTGATTCTTATCTTGGGAATCACAATAAGTGTACTAGCAATTGTATGGTTAGAAAGAGAAATATCAGCAGGGGTACAACAGCGTATTGGACCTGAATACGCTGGTCCTTTTGGAATTCTTCAAGCTCTAGCAGACGGAACAAAACTACTATTCAAAGAGAATCTTATTCCATCTAGGGGAGATATTCGTTTATTCAGTATTGGACCATCCATATCAATAATATCAATTCTAATAAGTTATTCAGTAATTCCCTTTGGCTATAACTTTGTTTTATCTGATTTCAAGATAGGTGTTTTTTTATGGATTGCTATTTCGAGTATTGCTCCCATTGGACTTCTTATGTCAGGATATGGCTCAAATAATAAATATTCCTTTTTGGGTGGTCTACGAGCTGCTGCTCAATCGATTAGTTATGAAATACCATTAACTCTATGTGTCTTATCAATATCTCTACGTGCGATTCGTTGAAACCAAAAAAGTTATTCGATGCTATTGCTATGCTCCTCTCTTTATAGTACTATATAGGAAAGGAGGCGAATCAATTGAATAGAAACCTTCATTATCTTTATTTTTCTCCGATTGAAGAACTAAATTAGATAGTTATATGAGTGAAATAAAACAGCTTATATTGAATAGAATTTCAGAATACTTTCTTACTTCTAGTTAATAGATAGTATGATGATTTTTAATGGCAGTAAAAATATTGAGTCTCATTTTCTATGTATAAGAATGAAATAAAATTATAAACAGAAGAGGCCATTTAACCCAAGATTGGATAATTTGTCATCCTGTTTTGAAGCGGCTCTAAAGACCAACCTTATTGAGTTTTAGTTACCATTTTTATGAATTCTCATAGATATATTAAAATAAATAAGGGGGATTAATAAAAAAGAGTGGATGGTTAGAAACACCAAGATACACAAAGGATTAGTACACAGATTTTGTAAATTATCCAAAAGACAATTTACGCAGAATATAAAAAGAATACTAATTGGGGCTTTAAGTTGGTAGAAAAAATAAAGCAGTACTCCCCACAACTCCGATCCAGAGTATGCTTCCATCCACTCATTAAATAAATGACTATCAGGAACGAAAAATCCTTTAAAATTTTTAAGTCCCTTTTTCATAGCACAAAAAAGAAGAATAGGAACGAAAAAAAAACATAAGAAATCAAAAACGAAAGAGAAATCTATTTTTCGTTTTTGATTTCTTATATCCATATCCATATTCATGGAGATCAAATCATAATTAAGAAACGAATGTTTAATTCTTTTTCGTAATTCAAAATCATGAGGCTATTGAGAATTATAAAAGAGTATTTTATTGAAGAATTCAGTTATTACTCAACAAATTTTTATTTTTGAGGGATGAGATCAATTCAGAAGTGCCTTACATTGGATCTTTTATTAAACTATATTTCTCTTTCTTATTTCGTTATTTCTAGAACAGACAGAATTGAATTGGTCTAATCAGAACCGTTCGATCTATTTTCATCTTCTATATCTTAGGGATATAGCAAGAGAGAAATAATTGACCCGGTCCTTAGATTTACTTAAGGCTTTCCAGAGCCGTATGAGGTGAAAATTTCATGTACGGTTCTGTAATAGAGATGGGAACAGTAATGTTATCACCGACTAGGATTATCTAACAGTTTAAGTACAGTTGATATAGTTGATGCGCAAGCAAAATATGGTTTTTGGGTTGGAATTTGTGGCGTCAACCTATGGGTTTCATCGTTTTTCTAATTTCTTCGCTAGCAGAATGTGAAAGATTACCTTTTGATTTACCAGAAGCAGAAGAAGAATTAGTAGCTGGTTATCAAACAGAATACTCAGGTATTAGATTTGGTTTATTTTACGTTGCTTCCTATTTAAACCTTTTAATTTTCTTCATTATTTGTAACAGTTCTTTACTTGGGCGGTTCAAATATCTCTATTCCGTACATATTTGTTTCTGAATTTTTTGAAATAAATAAAACATACGGAGTTTTTGGAACTACAATTGATCTCTTTATTACATTAGCTAAAAGCTATTTTTTCTTATTTGTTTCTATCATAACAAGATGGTCTTTGCCTAGGCTAAGAATGGATCAATTATTAAATCTTGGATGGAAATTTTCTTTTACCTATTTCTCTCGGTAATCTATTATTAACAACTTCGTCTCAATTGTTTTCGCTGTAAAAGATGGATCTTCTATATTCATTACTTGTCTCAAATAAGAGAAAGAAATAAAACAAAACTATTCATAGATATTACGATATGTTCCTTATGGTAACTGGGTTCATGAATTATGGTCAACAAACAGTCCGAGCTGCAAGGTACATTGGTCAAAGTTTCATGATTATCTTATCTCACGCAAATCGTTTACCTGTAACTATTCAATATCCTTATGAAAAATTAATCACATCAGAACGTTTCCGCGGTCGAATCCATTTTGAATTTGATAAATGCATTGCTTGTGAAGTATGTGTTCGTGTATGTCCTATAGATTTACCGTTGTTGATTGGAAAATGGAAACGGATATTAGAAAGAAACGATTGCTAAATTACAGTATTGATTTCGGAATCTGTATTTTTTGTGGTAACTGTATTGAGTATTGTCCAACAAATTGTTTATCAATGACTGAAGAATATGAACTTTCAACTTATGATCGTCATGAATTGAATTATAATCAAATTGCTTTGGGCCGTATACCAATGTCAATAATTGATGATTATACAATTCGAACAATTCAAATCAAATAAAAAAGACAATTTTTTATAATTTAATAAAATACAATTCTAAAAAAAAAAAGAATATTCTATATATATATAGATTTCTATATATATATAGAATATATATAGAATATATAGAATAATCGAAATAAAATATTTTCAAAAATTGTATAAAAAATGAATCATATAATCGATATTGGATTAGAAATATTCTCTAATTATTAGAGAAATATATTCTTAAATAGAATAGAGAAATATATTATCGAAATTTGAAATATTCTTTAATTTAAAGACTAGTTCAAATGGTTATATATGTTCTATCTACCTTTATACTTTAGTTTTAATATCGTTTCAAACTACTCTTTCGTATAAAGAGTAGTTTAAGTGGAATGACATTGATTATATAACCGTAACTATATCAATTTAAACTACTTAGGTTTTTTCAATGCAAAGAAAAATTTAAGTATATAACAATTTTTTCCTGGTCATATCAATAAGGTCATGAAATTTCGATTTCTTTGTCCTTTTTTTTTTTTTACATATAATGGATTTGCCTGAAACGCTGCACGATTTTCTTTTAGTCTTTCTGGGATCGGGTCTTATCTTAGGAAGTTAGGAGTAGTATTACTTACCAACCCCATTTTTTCTGCTTTTTCGTTGGGACTGGTTCTTGTTTGTATCTCTTTCTTATATATTTTAGCAAACTCGCATTTTGTAGCTGCATCACAGCTACTTATTTACGTGGGAGCTATTAACATTTTAATCATATTGCTGTGATGTTCATGAATAGTTCCGAATATTACCAAGATTTTCATCTTTGGACCATAGGGGATGGAATTACTTTGATAGTTTGTACAAGTATTTTTGTTTCACTAATAACTATTATTTCAGATACATCATGGTACGGAATTATTTTGGACTACAAGACCAAATCAGATTATTGACCAAGAATTGATAAGTACTAGTCAACAAATTGGAATTCATTTATCAACAGATTTTTTTCTTCCATTTGAACTAATTTCAATAAATTCTTTTAGTTTCTTTGATAGGTGCAATTGTCGTCAGCTCGCCAGTAAGAAATCTTTAGAGAACTACTAATATAAATCAAGACTATATATATATATGTATTTTTTTTTTTTCAATGTGAAGTGAAAGAGTTTTTAGGTAGAAATTCTTTTTTTTTAATTGCCAATATATTCTTTTGTTGACAGACTTGTTATATTCTTTAGTCAATTGAATCTGTTGAATTGTTGTTCATATTGAAATGAATCAAAATTGATAAGGAGTTGGTCAATGATGCTCGAACATGTACTTGTTTTGAGTGCCTATTTATTTCTTTGGTATCTATGGATTGATCACGAGCCGAAATTGGTTAGAGCCCTTATGTGTCTTGAACTTATATTGAATGCAGTGAATATAAATCTAGTCACTTTTTCTGATTTTTTTGATAATCGCCAATTAAAAGGAAATATTTTTTCAATTTTTGTTATAGCTATTGCAGCCGCTGATGCGGCTATCGGACTGGCTATTGTTTCCTCAATTGCTCGTAACAGAAAATCAACCCGAATCAATCAATCGAATTTTGACAGAAAATCAACCCGTATCAATCAATCGAATTTGTTGAATAAATAGCATGAATCATATCATAATTAATAAAAAAGAAACAAAGTAGAATTTCAAATAGTGTAATATTAATCAATTCATTTTAGTATTTATTCGACACAACTTATGATCATATCATGTTTGCATTCCCTAAATCATAAGAAATCAAAGTATCCTGGTCCTCTTCTATTTCCTCTTCTAAATTTATCTAGACGCCTTTTTTATTAACAGTTAACAATATTATCACAAATCATTGATTCATCTGGTATATAAATATACGATTCATTTACGAGTTTACTAGATCGATAATTTTCATTTTTGAACATCAAAAATTACTATAGATATAATGTCACATTCAGTAAA